AAGGCATTCAATTTTCAGTTCTTGACTGGGGAGAGGGAGTCCTCATGTGGTGACAGCTGGTACTGCACCTTCCAGAACCAAGGACAGCTCCTTCTGTAACAGCACGCCTTTCCCAGGTGCCTTGAAACCTATACTTTAACCCTCCTTATCTTTTTTTTCACCAAGTCTTTTACACTTAAACAGACCACACACACCTATGTGGCTTTGTGTCTTCTAACTCAGCTCAGCTCAAATAAAAAAAAGGCATTACAAAATGTTATAAGACTGCAGTATGGTGGACCAGGTATAAGGACTGGGTTCAGTTTCTGAGGCCCTGTCTGTATTTTATCTAGCTATTTGTAATAATTGTAATCATAATAATAATTATTATTATTATTATTTTTATGATTCCCCCATGTTTGCGTGGGCCTCCTCCAAGTGCTCCGGTTTCCTTTCACAGTCCAAAGACTTACTGGCTGGCTAACTGGCTGCTGGGATACTGACCCCAGTGAGTGGGGTGTGAGTGTGTGTCCAGGGCGTCTCCCACCTTGCGCCTGTAGCTTGTCAGGACAGGCTTCGGCTCCCTTGCAGAAAGCGATAAAGAGGTTAGAAGACAGGTGAATGGCTGGAGGGCAGTGTAGCAGGAAACTGAAAGGGACATTTTGTTCTCATGCCTTAAGCCTCCTATACTTCAGACCCTTCCCTGTGACACTAAGCTGGCCCTTAGATTATGTCCAGATAGCAAGCCTGACTGGAACATCCCAGCTTTGACTCTAGGCACCTGATCGTTACAATATGACATAATCCTCAGCGTCAGCGGAGAGCCACATATCCCCAGTGAGGGTCACAGCCACCCAGAGCCCATCCCGAAAAAAACGGGGCGCAAAGCGGGGTTACACCCCAGACAGCTGTCCACAGGGCAAACACACAGATAACTTACAGACTCCCATTCGCACCGTGATGTCACCCACCCACTGACCCTGAGGGGTGGGAGGACAGCAGAGCTCCTAGAGGGAACAAACACAGGGAGAACATGCAGACTCCACACAGAGAGTGCTCAGATCCCAGAGGTGATACCAAGGAAGATGAGGATAATCTACATTGCTGTGGCTCACAGGCTCAGGGAAGACCTAAAGAAGGCAGGGGATGTTGAAGGTTAATGAGAGAGCGCTTCATTGTGTCGCGGTGCAGCGTGTGAACCTGTCTGCTCCCAGCCCGTGATGTACCTGTGTTGTTGTGTGTTGCACTCTGCTGTGCAGTCTGTGATGGGCTGGTGTGTTGTTGTACATTGCACTGTAGTGTTTTGATGCTTTTCAACATTTACAGTAATTGTTCTTACAAGGATTTGTGATCCTCTTTGAGTCTGATCTGCGTGTCTCTGTGGCTGTGTTAATATGTGCTGTAGCTCACTCTCTGTCACACTGTAGACTGAACCCAGTCACTCTCTCTCTCACTTGTTCTGTCTCTCTCACTCTGTCTGGCTGAACCCTGGTGTTCAGGGCTCAGCTCTGTGTGTGAGTCTCTCGCTCTGTCTCTCCCTCACTGTGTCTCTCTGTTTCTGTGTGTGTCTCACTTTCTCTGAATATGCAGGTCTGTGTGTCAGTCTGTCAATCTGCCTCTCACTGTTTCTGTCTCAGTGTCTCCCAGTCACACACTCCCTGTGTGTCTCACTCTCTCTCTCCCTGTCCTGATGAGGCTTTGCTGTCTCACTGTCTGTCAAAGGCTCTTTTTGATGGGCTGCATTAAAGCTGTTTAATGCTACGAGATGAGTGCTATTACAAAATAAATAAATGCCTTTGTTTTAATCCTACTGTCCTGCATTGTGTATACACCCCAGCCCCCTGCTGTCTTACACAGTGACTCTGTTGTAAGACTCTGCCCCCTAGAGGCATGGAGTTGATGTGGCTATCACAGCACCCCCTTGGAAAAGGTCTGATTAAATGTTTCTGTTTGGAGTCCTGGCGAGAGCAGTCTGTGAGAACAGAGCTCATGGGGCTCCAGACCTGTTCAGTCCTGTTCAGAGTGCAGGAGAAACCCCTGAAGTCCAGGCAGAAGTCTTTCTCCTCACTCTCACCAATTCTCCTGGCAAATTGGTTGAGTGTCCCCAGGGTGTAGTGCAGTGCTGTGCAGTGGGAGTCTGATAACTGACACTGTAAACCCTGGACTGGATCAGACTGCTGTGCAG